CCTTTACTGTACTGTAGAGACCAGGGACACCCTTTACTGTACTGTAGAGATCAGGGACAACCTTTTTCTTTACTGTAGAGACTAGGGACACCCTTTACTGTACTGTAGAGACCAGGGACACCCTTTACTGTACTGTACTGTAGAGACCAGGGACACCCTTTACTGAACTGTAGAGACCAGGGACACCCTTTACTGTACTGTAGAGGCCACGGACACCCTTTACTATACTGTAGAGACCAGGGACAACCTTTACTATACTGTAGAGACCAGGGACACCCTTTACTGTACTGTAGAGACCAGGGACACCCTTTACTGTACTGTAGAGAACAGGGACACCCTTTACTGAACTGTAGAGACCAGGGACACCCTTTACTGTACTGTAGAGACCAGAGACACCCTTTACGGTACTGTAGAGACCAGGGACACCCTTTACTGTACTGTAGAGACCAGGGACACCCTTTACTGTACTGTAGAGATCAGGGACACCCTTTACTGTACTGTAGAGACCAGGGACACCCTTTACTCTACTGTAGAAACCAGGGACACCCTTTACAAATACAGTTGTATAAAGAAGCTTACTTGATATATTGGGACAAATCTTCATTATAGATACAGCTATTTATAGACACTTACCTCATATCTGGGGAGAAGTCTACATTACAGGCATACCCAGCCACCTGTAACAAAAACAAGTCAACATGTTTATCACAAAAAAACATCACCTTCCAAGAATGGCACAGTACTCTTTGTTAAATGCAGATCTTGATGCTTCAATTCAAACACAAAACTGACAACAACAGCACCTACTTAGTGAATCTACTCTACCTGGAGGTGTACTGAAACCAGAGTTTAGTTGGTCTGCCATGAACATTTAGAACTGAAACCAGTCAACTATTACTTCATGGTTGTAATATCAAAGCTATGCACACTCCTCCAAGAACTAGGAACTGTGTGTATGCTCTGCTCCTGTTTCTGATGGAAATGGAGCTAAACTTGAAGTCTAATCAAAGTCAGTGAAGAGGAAAACTTAGGTCACGTGACCTATATTTGATATATTGGTGTAGTACTCCTCAAATGTAACCACTTATGAAATTTTGTGACTTTGATGAAAAGTGAATACTAGGACCATAGACATATGTTCCTCTCATATACTTCAGTGGAAAGAACAAAGTGTTTCCATACTTTTAACAGACAGCTTCTTTTAACATTGTTTAGTTTACTACAAAGGCTACTATCTAAAACTGAATCCACGGAGACAATCAATTACTGGAGTATACCAGATGTCTACTAACTAAAACTGAATCCAGACAGCAGGCACATAGAATACTGGAGTATACCAGATGTCTACTATCTAAAACTGAATCCACGGAGACAATCAATTACTGGAGTATACCAGATGTCTACTATCTAAAACTGAATCCAGATAGCAGGCACATAGAGTACTGGAGTATACCAGATGTCTACTATCTAAAACAAAACACTACAGACAGCAGACACATAGAGCACTGGAGTATACCAGACAACTACTATCTAAAACAAAACACTACAGACAGCAGGCACATAGAGGACTGAGGAATACCAGACGTCTACTATCTAAAACAAAACACTACAGACAGCTGGCACATGGAGTACTGGAGTATACCAGATGTCTATTATCTAAAACAAAGCACTACAGACAGCAGACACATAGAGTACTGGAGTATACCAGACAACTACTATCTAAAACAAAACACTACAGACAGCAGGCACATGGAGTACTGGAGTATACCAGATGTCTACTATCTAAAACAAAGCACTACAGACAGCAGACACACAGAGTACTGAAGTATACCAGACGTCTACTATCTAAAACGAAACACTACAGACAGCAGACACATAGAGTACTGAAGTATACCACACGTCTACTATCTAAAACGAAACACTACAGACAGCAGACACATAGAGTACTGGAGTATCCCAGACGTCTACTATCTAAAACAAAAAAATACAGACAGCAGGCACATAGATTACTGGAGTATACCAGATGTCTACTATCTAAAAAAAAGCACTACAGACAGCAGACACACAGAGTACTGAAGTATACGAGACGTCTACTATCTAAAACGAAACACTACAGACAGCAGACACATAGAGTTCTGAAGTATACCACACGTCTACTATCTAAAACGAAACACTACAGACAGCAGACACATAGAGTACTGAAGTATACCAGATGTCTACTATCTAAAACAAAACACTACAGACAGCAGGCACATAAAGTACTGGAATATACCAGACGTCTACTATCTAAAACAAAACACTACAGACAGCAGGCACATGGAGTACTGAAGTATACCAGATGTCTACTATCTAAAAACGAAACACTACAGACAGCAGACACATAGAGTACTGGAGTATACCAGACGTCTACTATCTAAAACAAAACACTACTGACAGCAGGCACATAGAGTACTGGAGTATACCACACGTCTACTATCTGCAACAAAACACTACAGACAGCAGGCACATAGAGTACTGGAGTATACCACCCGTCTACTATCTGCAACAAAACACTACAGACAGCAGGCACATAAAGTACTGGAATATACCAGACGTCTACTATCTAAGACAAAACACTACTGACAGCAGGCACATAGAGTACTGGAGAATACCAGATATCTACTATCTAAAACAAAACACTACAGACAGCAGGCACATAGAGTACTGGAGTACTTGATCCCTTTATGTTTAATGATCTGTGACTGAAACTCACCATATGTCCTGTAAACGTTTTCTTCCTCATGTATTTGAATCTGTTTAGAACATTAAAGATGGAAATTTTGTTGTCCATAGACTGACAAGCCAACCACTTCCCTGTAATACAATTAAAACAATAGGTCAGGAAAAATTCCTTCATAAATATAAACATTGAAATCATTTTTCAAAATTTAGCTTTCATTCTTCACTAATTATTATTTTATTGTAGTTAATCTGAAAACTCCTTTGGTCTTTACTGGTATGGTTGTTTTTTGGTAGTTCCTTTGTCAGTGATGTTATGGTCCAAGACCTATAATACTTACCATTCAGAGACAGAACATTACAATACCTACCATTCAGACACAGAACATTATAATACCTACCATAGGGAGACAGAACATTATAATACCTACCATAGGGAGACAGAACATTATAATACCTACCATAGGGAGACAGAACATTATAATACCTACCATAGGGAGACAGAACATTATAATACCTACCATAGGGAGACAGAACATTATAATACCTACCATAGGGAGACAGAACATTATAATACCTACCATAGGGAGACAGAACATTATAATACCTACCATAGGGAGACAGAACATTATAATACCTACCATAGGGAGACAGAACATTATAATACCTACCATAGGGAGACAGAACATTATAATACCTACCATAGGGAGACAGAACATTATAATACCTACCATAGGGAGACAGAACATTATAATACCTACCATAGGGAGACAGAACATTATAATACCTACCATAGGGAGACAGAACATTATAATACCTACCATAGGGAGACAGAACATTATAATACCTACCATAGGGAGACAGAACATTATAATACCTACCATAGGGAGACAGAACATTATAATACCTACCATAGGGAGACAGAACATTATAATACCTACCATAGGGAGACAGAACATTATAATACCTACCATAGGGAGACAGAACATTATAATACCTACCATAGGGAGACAGAACATTATAATACCTACCATAGGGAGACAGAACATTATAATACCTACCATAGGGAGACAGAACATTATAATACCTACCATAGGGAGACAGAACATTATAATACCTACCATAGGGAGACAGAACATTATAATACCTACCATAGGGAGACAGAACATTATAATACCTACCATAGGGAGACAGAACATTATAATACCTACCATAGGGAGACAGAACATTATAATACCTACCATAGGGAGACAGAACATTATAATACCTACCATAGGGAGACAGAACATTATAATACCTACCATAGGGAGACAGAACATTATAATACCTACCATAGGGAGACAGAACATTATAATACCTACCATAGGGAGACAGAACATTATAATACCTACCATAGGGAGACAGAACATTATAATACCTACCATAGGGAGACAGAACATTATAATACCTACCATAGGGAGACAGAACATTATAATACCTACCATAGGGAGACAGAACATTATAATACCTACCATAGGGAGACAGAACATTATAATACCTACCATAGGGAGACAGAACATTATAATACCTACCATAGGGAGACAGAACATTATAATACCTACCATAGGGAGACAGAACATTATAATACCTACCATAGGGAGACAGAACATTATAATACCTACCATAGGGAGACAGAACATTATAATACCTACCATAGGGAGACAGAACATTATAATACCTACCATAGGGAGACAGAACATTATAATACCTACCATAGGGAGACAGAACATTATAATACCTACCATAGGGAGACAGAACATTATAATACCTACCATAGGGAGACAGAACATTATAATACCTACCATAGGGAGACAGAACATTATAATACCTACCATAGGGAGACAGAACATTATAATACCTACCATAGGGAGACAGAACATTATAATACCTACCATAGGGAGACAGAACATTATAATACCTACCATAGGGAGACAGAACATTATAATACCTACCATAGGGAGACAGAACATTATAATACCTACCATAGGGAGACAGAACATTATAATACCTACCATAGGGAGACAGAACATTACAATACCTACCATTCAGAGACAGAACATTATAATACCTACCATAGGGAGACAGAACATTATAATACCTACCATAGGGAGACAAAACATTATAATATCTAACATAGGGAGACAGAAAAATATAATACTTACCATAGGGAGACAGAACATTATAATACCTACCATAGGGATACAGAACATTATAATACCTACCATAGGGAGACAGAACATTATAATACCTACCATAGGGAGACAGAACATTATAATACCTACCATAGGGAGACAGAACATTATAATACCTACCATAGGGAGATAGAACATTATAATACCTACCATAGGGATACAGAACATTATAATACCTACCATAGGGATACAGAACAGTATAATACCTACCATAGGGATACAGAACATTATAATACCTACCATAGGGAGACAAAACATTATAATACCTACCATAGGGTGAGAAAACATTATAATACCTACCATAGGGAGACAAAACATTATAATACCTGCCATAGGGAGACGGAACATTATAATACCTCCCATAGGGAGACAGAACATAATACCTACCATAGGGATACAGAACATTAAAATACCTACCATGGGGAGACAAAACATTATAATCCCTACCATAGGGATACAGAACATTATAATACCTACCATAGGGAGACAAAACATTAAAATACCTACCATAGGGAGACAGAACATTATAACACCTACCATAGGGAGACGGAACATTATAATACCTACCATAGGGAGACAGAACATTATAATACCTACCATAGGGAGACAGAACATTATAATACCTACCATAGGGAGACAGAACATTATAATACCTACCATAGGGAGACAGAACATTATAATACCTATCATAGGGAGACAGAACATTATAATACCTAACATAGGGAGACAGAACATTATAATACTTACCATAGGGAGACAGAACATTATAATACCTACCATAGGGAGACAGAACATTATAATACCTACCATAGGGAGACAGAACATTATAATACCTACCATTCAGAGACAGAACATTATAATACCTACCATTCAGAGACAGAACATTATCATACCTACCATTTGGAGACAAAGTGACAGCTGGCATGGAGTGCATGGACGGATCAGCTATGTATTTAAAGTCCACTGGAATGTCCCTGTACAACAAAGTATTACAAATCAGATCATCACTTAAATGAAAATGTATCAGTTTCAGGTCAATTTTCAACATATAATAAATTTACAATATAAACAAATCGTACTTATCTTGGTTCATGATGGTTTCATTAAATAATGAATTATTTTTACGAAAGTTTAACATTAACTGTTACATCATGTTTCTGATTTAGCCATCGAGACAAAACAGCAGTGCTGTCTCTGAGTGTACTTCATATATACCAGTTAGGTACTCCATGCTGCTTTAGTTAACATATCCCCGACATAACAACGAGAATTCATTCATGATTTGGCAGTAAGGCAATACAGAAACAACACTAACCATTCCCACACTCGTAAACTCTTGTCATCTGAGGAGCTGACAAAGCGCCGATTCTGGTCGACAAATGTGATTGTGTTAACAGCGCCGAGATGTCGGTCATATTCCTGGACAATCTCTCCTGACCGGGTGTCCCACTGAAACAACAATTCACATGGAGAATAGAATTAAGTTTAACCAATCATGCATCACATAAAATAGAAACTCAGTTAAAGTGATAATCAAATATTGATCTAAGCATTTAAATACTGAAGATAAATTAACGAGTCAGTGCTTAACAACTCCTATATTCCATCAAATGTTAGTTCTATAAAAAAACAACACATACAATGAACATAACTATGTAGTCTTCCAAGAAAACTGGACAATACAATAGTGGATGCTGACAAAGGGAAAACTTACACAAACAATTTTTTTATCCGAGGTACCTGCCACAAACAAGTGCTGCTTATCAGGTTCTGGGTGGAACTTCACACAGTAAGGAACTTTTCTGCTGGTAAATCGTGACTTACAATCACCTAGAAATAACACAAAAACAATATAATTGAGACTTATTTTGATTCTGTTACCTGCAGAATCATGTTTCAAAGTTAATTGATAGGTTTGTTTCATGCATATATCATATCTAAAGAATAACATGTTGTAAGTTGTGTAGTAAATTCTTTACAGATAGAGTCACAGAGTTATGGTACCTGAAAGAATGAGATACCAGAGGTCTCATGGTATAATTCAACATTACTCTCAGAGTTACAGTACCATAAGACTCTGCCACCAGGAAATTTACTGTCTTCACATATGAATCACATCTCTTCAATTAAGAAATGTTCCAAAAACATGCTGAAAGAAAGCCTGTCACTTTCTGGGGGTAAGACTTCTCATGAAATGTTCCTCACCTGTTTCTGTGTCCCATAGTTTACAGTATCTGTCATAGCCACAACTGAGAAACTCGGTGCCATCGTTGTTGAACGTGATGTCCCTGACCGCCTGTTTATGGCCAGCGTATGTCCGTATACAGCGCCGGTCATTGTACACTTCCCAGATCTAGTGAGTTTTAACAGATAATGTTATACAACAAATAGATGTAGGATAATGAAAACTAAAACAGTAAGATCACTAAACTATGTTCACTGATATGTCTGTATATGCTAACTTTTTTATGAAAAACATTTCATATTAATGAGATTAATTAAATGTAATAATAATAAGCATGTAATATTAGGACATAACACATTTTAATACATGTAGATCCATATTGCTAAAAGGAAGATCTTTCACAAGTTGCTGCAAATAACTCAACCTTTTACCTTATTCAACTCTGTGGTATTTCAAATTTGTTTGAACAAAATACACATTGCTTTAAACACAATAATTAGGTTTTATCAAAATACACTTTGAGTCTGAGTAATGAGTATGAACATTGTGGAATTAAGTATTGAACAATACCTTGGTTTACAATGAAAATAAAACACTTATCTTGCCTTCAAGTCAGAAACGTAAGTGTACTTATTAATCCATCAAAATTCACCTTTATTTTACAGTCCATGCTGCAGGAGAGGAGAAGGTGGGCAGAAACAGGGAACCAGCGAATAGCTGACAGGCCCTTTGTGTGTCCTGTCCAGGTGTGGATGTGTTTCTTGGGGAGGAAACATTTCTCCGGTGGTTCCTCTGATTTGAGGTTCACACCCACATCCTGTGGGATGTGTAGGTAGGACCGACCCTGGTAGTCGTAGGCATCCTTAACTGTTAAAGGGAAAACAAGTTCTGAAATCTCAACATAGTATCTGTATTTGTATTATTTCATCTGCCAGTATATTTATTATATTCCATGATTTATTGTTCTCTTAGTCCAAATTTGTTTATATGAAATCAGAACAGATCTTCAAAGAAGTGAAATGACCAGTTTGGGGGGAGGGGGGGGAGAGGATTGATTGATGTAAGATTTAAAATTCCTCTTACTGTGTAGAGTAGTCTTCTCCTCCACCGTCTTCTCCTCTGTCTGTTTGTTTGTTTTACTCCTCTTGGCAAGTATCTCATCCAGTTCTTTCTGTTCATCCTGTGGGTGGAAATTAACGGTGTCATATGTCTTATAAGGTAAACAGGCTCACACTTTTGAGGAAACGGTGTTCCACTAATCAGGAATAGAATGACGCTCATGAAGAAACAGAGTTATAGTTATGGGGAAACAAATCTAATATTACACTTACAAAGAAATATTATGGGGAAACAAATCTAATATTACACTTACAAAGAAACATTATGGGGAAACAAATCTAATATTACACTTACAAAGAAACAGAGTATCAATAATTATATGGGGAAACAACTTTACACTTACAGGTAAATAGGACTACTCTTTAATAAGGATTCAATGTATTTTCTTTCACATAGAAAACAAGTTCTTCTGTCAAAGCATTTCCTCACACATAGAAAACAAGTTCTTCTGTCAAAGTATTTCCTCAAGTTTTTCAGTTTTAACATTTGCAGGTGATCAGAAACAGATGAAAATTTGCAAACATGAAAATTTGAAACTTTGTCAAAGACAAAAGAATTCCTCACTACAATCTTTTAAAACACTCTTCAGGTCAGTCACTTACGACACCTGTATAAGATTTACCTCACTCGGCTTCATCACTGTTTTTTCGTCCACAAACTTGCCCCAGGGTCCCAGGTAGCCATCTATATCCCCTGCATCAAAGTTCCTCAGACGCTTCCTCTTGTCCTCAGGACGATTGGGGGTAGCCTCGAATACTGTAAGGCCTACAATAACATTCTCATCAGTCCATATCTCAGTCTTCATACTACTATAGATTTAGAGCTGAGGATGATCATTAATACTAAATATCTAAAGCAGAACACAATATTAACATGACATTTATCATATCTGCAGTCCAACTGAGTGTGACATCAATATGACATTAATCCTACATATATAAAGGAGAGGGTGATTTCAATATGACATTAATCCTACATATATAAAGCAGTAGGGTGATATCAATATGACATTAATCCTACATATATAAAGCAGTAGGGTGATATTAATAACACCCTTCACGTACAGTTCTAGAGATCATTGCATGCGTACCTTTGCTGTCTTCGGCGGCCACTCTGTCCCCAACGATTGGACATTCTGATGACACTTGTACATCGCAAGAAGGGTCTGCTGCATAACCTGCAACAATTCCAAATCTCAAATTTTATTTTTTTCAAGATAGTTTTCTTTCATAAAAAGAACTTTTAATTTAGGAACTTTTCCAAACAGATGAATTCACACAATATATTGTGTGAATTATTTTAAATGTTAAGAGTAATGTGATCAAAAGCCTATATGTGTGGACAATATGTTTATCAAAGTCCTAAAACACTTACCATAACTTGTAAAAGTTCTACGCTGATTTTCAAACTGGAATTGATTGAAATGCGCTTTCTCTGCATACCCAGAGATCATGTTTTTCGAAGCAAGCATCTGCTGGGTTTTATATGGGTTAGAAGGACCAACCTGTCAAGTACAATAATATGCATGATGACCAGGTATATTTATACACATATAGCAGGTATAGTAATAAACTGTTAACATATAGCAGGTATAGTAATAAACTGTTAACATATAGCAGGTATAGTAATAAACTGTTAACATATAGCAGGTATAGTAATAAACTGTTAACATATAGCAGGTATAGTAATAAACTGTTAACATATAGCAGGTATAGTAATAAACTGTTAACATATAGCAGGTATAGTAATAAACTGTTAACATATAGCAGGTATAGTAATAAACTGTTAACATATAGCAGGTATAGTAATAAACTGTTAACATATAGCAGGTATAGTAATAAACTGTTAACATATAGCAGGTATAGTAATAAACTGTTAACATATAGCAGGTATAGTAATAAACTGTTAACATATAGCAGGTATAGTAATAAACTGTTAACATATAGCAGGTATAGTAATAAACTGTTAACATATAGCAGTATAATGTAGTATAATGTAGTATAATGTAGTATAATGCAGTTCAAAATGTATTAATTTGTGCAAAATTTTAAATTATGAATGGTTTCATTAGTAAAATAACAAACTCAAAAAATATATTATTTTACACATACGTTTTGTATAGATGAAAAGAACTAATGTGCATACAAATTCAGTTTGTTTTTACCTCAGGTGCAAACATTTCCTCAAACTTTGGGTTGTATTTAACCTCCTTAGTTGTGATGTCCAGGTGACGCTGTACGCCAACATCTTCCTGTAGCAACAAATCCATACATTACAAGTACTATAAAACAAATATCAGTTATATCAAAAGTCTCTCTTATACAGTGGGAAATTTCAACTGAGGTCAGGTGATATCATGCTCCAACAAATTGTAAGTATTGCATCAAAGTTAATTATTTGTGAAAATCAATATACCTACATGAATGTACATTGTACTTTGCAGTATATAATCATGTCTTGTACGACAGCATCCCACTTGCTAGATTTTCATGCACAAGCACTTGTTATAACTTTATAGGCCAGAGCAACTAATAACTGGAGAGGGAGAACAGATGGCAAGTGAAATTCTATCAACCAATATGTAGTATTATCAATTTATTTAAGAAAACGAATATTAACCACCACTTCACGTAGGTGTGTTCTTTATCATCTAAACCTTGAAAAAGCACAGGCATATCCCCACATAACATGTTGTCACACAGGCATATCCCCACATAACATGTTGTCACACAGGCATATCCCCACATAACATGTTGTCACACAGGCATATCCCCACATAACATGTTGTCACACAGGCATATCCCCACATAACATGTTGTCACACAGGCATATCCCCACATAACATGTTGTCACACAGGCATATCCCCACATAACATGTTGTCACACAGGCATATCCCCACATAACATGTTGTCACACAGGCATATCCCCACATAACATGTTGTCACACAGGCATATCCCCACATAACATGTTGTCACACAGGCATATCCCCACATAACATGTTGTCACACAGGCATATCCCCACATAACATGTTGTCACACAGGCATATCCCCACATAACATGTTGTCACACAGGCATATCCCCACATAACATGTTGTCACACAGGCATATCCCCACATAACATGTTGTCACACAGGCATATCCCCACATAACATGTTGTCACACAGGCATATCCCCACATAACATGTTGTCACACAGGCATATCCCCACATAACATGTTGTCACACAGGCATATCCCCACATAACATGTTGTCACACAGGCATATCCCCACATAACATGTTGTCACACAGGCATATCCCCACATAACATGTTGTCACACAGGCATATCCCCACATAACATGTTGTCACACAGGCATATCCCCACATAACATGTTGTCACACAGGCATATCCCCACATAACATGTTGTCACACAGGCATATCCCCACATAACATGTTGTCACACAGGCATATCCCCACATAACATGTTGTCACACAGGCATATCCCCACATAACATGTTGTCACACAGGCATATCCCCACATAACATGTTGTCACACAGGCATATCCCAACATAACATGTTGTCACACAGACATATCCCAACATAACATGTTGTCACAATTAATCTATCTCACATAAATTTTGATTCAACTCAAAACAGCAGAACAACTTTTACACAAGAATTTATGTACAAACTATTTTATATCAACGTAACCTTTCCCTAGGATCACTGCGCTGACCATTAAAAATACTTCTTCCTTTCCATGTACCATTTTTAATAAAGGAAAGCTAGACATGACACATTAAGAAATCCTCCCACATTCAAAATTGGCCTTTTCAAATACATGTACCAAACCCCTTAAGTATTATATTAACAGAAGAAACCAATTTTTAAAATTGTTAATAAATGTTTTAGTTTAGTCATGCAATCACTTATAATAACCCTCCTTAAATATATTGAAGCTCTAATTATTATTATCATAATATTTCATTCAATTTTTATAATACCACTGTTCTAATGCACAAGGGTGTTTGCGATTAAACATTAATGGGAAGGGCAGAACGTATGAAGGAATATTACCAGTATTGATGTCTTCAATGTACACATTCAGAAATGAATTTGAACCTGCTACCACTAAGACCAGTCTGACCTATGCATAGAAATGCAGTAATTTTCCAAATGTGTCCTCTGAAGCTATGCTTACAGATTACAACCTTATGTGACATTACTTTCTGATGGAATTTCTATATTGTACAATTTATTTGTACTCTACTTGTGTTCAAAATTGACTGGATGTATTCTAGTGTCTTTGGACATATTTGGTCGATGCTTTCATTAATATTTCCATATATACGCTTTAAAAAAATGTATGGAGCTGACAATTATTCTAATCTTTGCTTGTAACAGAAAAGAAAACGGGCTTGTGGGCTAAAGAACTGAAAAATGGATTTTTCAATCCTTTCTTAAACATAAGTTTGCACCACATAACAGGTCCAGTACACACTGTCGATTAAGCTATTTACCCGTAGCTATAAAAACCTATATAGCTATATTCACCCATAAATTAAAGCTGTATTGGGCTATATTTTCTCAGATTTCAATTTTCATTCAATTAAAGCAAAGTCGCATAAAATATTAAGGTTTATGGTAATGTTGACTACAAAAAGTATACATTTGGATGATTATTTTAATTTTTCATAAATGTAAAATTTCCGATTTTTTACTTTCATAATTTTTGAAAAAAGAATACTTATATTCAATGTCTTTCGTTTTCCTTAAAAATCTGAAAAGGGTTGAACAGATTGGGCACAACGGCGCATATGGGTAATAATCCTGCATTTGGGTAACAGTTACCCATTTCACCATTTCGGCATTTGCAGCAACAAAATCAGCCAAAAAGGCAGAACATTTTCATCATAGTAGTAAGAGGATGAAACGTAACCAGACGAGGCTATGTATTGGAAAGGACTTTATAGATAATGTCTGTTGTCCAACCCTTTTGCTATTAACAATATAAAACTTGTTGAAATGAAACCAGACGTGACTGTTGTACATGTACAGTATGTAAAAAGGGGGTGATTTTGTAAACAATCAGCAACCTTTGTTATTACTAAAGGAGCGGCGTTCAACTTTTGTGTTGACACAAGTGATTTTCCACTCTGTATTGGTTTCAAATGAGCTGTCAAGTCTTCAATAGATGGCCTTGTTTCTTCTTCAGAACCAGATGAATCACTTGCATAGTCTCGCAAGGCAAGCATTGCGACGATCGGTAGACATCGACGAGTCCCGCAGCAAAATGCACTGCGGAGAAGTTAAAAAATTATAGTGTTTTGTTTTAAATTAAATCTATTTACAAAATATTCAAGTTATTTTTAAGAATGAGTATTAACGTTTTCGTATGAATTTAGAGCTAAATTATTTCCTTATCATTATTAATTTCACTCTCGCCGGGAATGGAATTTCGCGAGATCTCAATATCGCCATTTTATGCTAACTTCTCGAAATCGGAATTGCACTTGTAAATAAACCCAAGGATGTGACAGGAAAATACATGCATGGTGGTAAGTATGACTGCTTTATACTCATATGTACCAGTAATATTAATTGCACTCGTTGTTAGGGTGCCTGGAGTGTCTCAGCACCAACACTATCACCGGGGTGTGCCCAATACACAGCGAACTGTCAAACTTGGCCACTCTTCATGACATCACTTTTCAATGTAGGTCACACACCATTTACACAAACAAACACACGCACATATCATAAAATGTTCTTCACTAAAATCTTATTTAGCATATAACGTGATGAAAATGTGAAAAAATGGTACTGTTGGCCGTGAAGTGTTTTATAGGTCACAGAGAGGCAGAGAGCCTATGATTCATGCCTGTGACCTGTGAGGGGTATGGACAACAACTTTGCTCTGCTTCAGTAAACAGCTGAATGAACAACAACAGTCGGGTAATATTGTAACATTCATTTACATATACATATATAACATCATGCATTGTCAGCATCTTACAATACTGGTATATGTGTGTAGTAGTAAAGTTGACCAATATAGAAGACAAAGTTAACAGGGATATCTTTACTGTTACCCACACATTACACCGATTCCTATCAGTTGTGTAGCATTTGTAACGTTTACTTCACTTCAACAGGATACTCTAAAACGTTCAATATACTGAACATTATTTAGAGGCGTCAGAGAGATTGGTTAAAAACAAGTATTTTTTTTTAGAACTGTATGATAAAAACATCATGTAAGCTTAGAATTTGTGAGAAAGGAGGTTTGCCTTCAGTGTTGAGAGGTCTGCACTGTCAGCGATGAAGGTTGGGAGGCTGTTCCAGGTACGAATTTAATGCTCAGTGCTATAGACACAAGTTAGTGTCAGTATGAGTTATCTTGTTGACATCCCTATGTGGATCTACATCGGTTACTTTCTGCAGTTTCGTTTCATCCTCTTATTTGTTTCTCTGAACATTGAGTGCTTTGAATCACATTAAAACAGTAACCCTTCTTAAATGAACTTATTATTTCTACTTTGATGAACAAAGCCAAACCTAAGGGAAGTTCTTTGGTATGAGTATCATAGAGCTGTCTGAAACAAAGCTGTGGCCACAGGCTTATATTAAGTACTCTGGTTTTCCTCCACCATCAAAACCTCGCTGGTCCTTGTAATGACCATACATGTTAACAGAAACAAATCAAACCAAACCTACAGAGCAGACAAACTTGGAGTTGAAAGCTTAGAAGAATAATAGAATGGTGAAATATGACTCAAGAAATGACTGACCCTCTCTTTAATGTTTGATAAGGTCTGACCAGGGGTGGCAAGGACCAGTCTGGAGTTGCCAATCTAGGAATAGACAGACCCTCGCACTAATGGATGGTCTGATTCTTTAGATTAGTTTGACCTTTAATTACTCCAATGAATGATTACTTAGGTCTGACCAAGAGTGGTCAAGACTACTGTTATTTATGGTTTAAAAGTTTAGATAGTAATATGAAGAAAGTTGATACTTGCGTTCACTGGGACACAGACCCCCGCTTTCTAGTTGAATGTACTATCACTGAACCAAAAGGAAATCCCCCCTAGACATAGCTAGTAGACTTTGACACTATGTACATGACATCCTTTACACTACCCCACTATTTTTCCAAGTCTTTGCCCTCAAAGACAACCTAGGCTCTTTTTCTCCCCACCAAAGTTTCTCCATTGCTTTGCCTGCCTTGAACAATCCCAGACTTTTTATTTGGATACTCTGCTATTGAGCTAAATCGAAATCCCCGTTAGCTAGCTAAAGTAAGTAATTCAGGTGACTTTGATGCTATGTATTATTGCACATCCTTTGCAGAAAAACCATTGACCTGTCGTAAGATTGACATTCATCATCAGACATACTGTTTATACAGTCTTCATCTTATATAATGATATGTTGCTTCTATTTTTCCAGTAATTGTAATTTACTGTTTTACTGTATAACTATACATAAAAATCAATTTTTTCAGCACAGGACCTCATATTACAGACGTGATTGTAAGTCATGGAAAATGTACGGTTCTCACAAACTGCTTATTGTGCAAATGTGCAATGCATTCAATCAGTGGAAATAAGTCTTTGCCAAACTGAGGACTCTGTTACTTAGGTTTGTGTTTCTGCATGATGATAACAAGTTGAAAATGTCTTGTGGGAAGTTGAATTGGATTCTGACAGGATATACCAGATATCAAATATAATTCCTATTGACTTTAGAATACAAAGGCCTGACTTTTAACAACAAGTATTGTAAGGAACTGAATTGTAGGCTGTATTTGAATTTCTTTACTATAAAAACTCAATTTAAAAAGTTAAGATGTAAGGAATTAACTTTTATAAAGAGTAAAGATCTTGTGTGGCCTGAACTATCAACAGACGTGTACATGATGAAGATATGCAGATATAGCAGTGTATTTCATGCTTCAGGTTAATTAGGGGCAGAACATGGCTATGATTTATTTATAGGCAGGCAAGTGATACATTTTGTATGCCAATAAAAAAATTCAAGTCAGGTGTATGTACCAGGTCAGTTAATTGTTGGGATACTTCTGAATAGATAGATAGATATGTATGTATTAAAAATCAAAATTGGGGGAAGGGGGATGTGAGGAAAAGTATTGTGACTTAACTGCTATATAAGTATGGACACAATATAATTCCTTTAATGTGTTAATGAAATTTGAAGTGTCAATTTTACTGCTTAAGTTAATAATTTGACTTGCATACTTGTAAGGACCTTTCTTATATCTAGTAAGTCAAACATTTTGTCACTTCAAAGGAAGCATGAAAAAGGATCAGATTTTTTTCTTTCATTTTCTGAATCCACAATTTTGGACACCAAGCTGTTGGTGTATACTTTTGCCACAGGTCAAGCTATTTCTACTGTTTTGTTCAGCACCTTTTGCCACAGGTAAAGCTAGTTTTCTACTGATTTGTTCAGCACCTTTTGCCACAGGTCAAGCTAGTTTTCTACTGTTTTGTTCAGCACCTTTTGCCACAGGTCAAGCTATTTCTACTGTTTTGTTCAGCAACTTTTGCCACAGGTCAAGCTATTTCTACTGTTTTGTTTAGCACCTTTTGCCACAGGTCAAGCTAGTTTTCTACTGTTTTGTTCAGCACCTTTTACCACAGGTCAAGCTATTTCTACTGTTTTGTTCAGCACCTTTTGCCACAGGTCAAGCTTGTTTTCTACTGTTTTGTTCTCAAATAGAATGTCATTGATTATCAAGCTTACGGAACTTGTTGTTAATATTTTGATAGTGAAACTGCTGTTCAACTGAGATGTGCATAAATTAATCAGCCTGCAGACAAAGCCTTTAACAGGAGCCTCTGAATATTGGACGGTGTGTTATTGGAAGCATTCTAATGATTTTGGCTTTGGAAAATGATGTCATGGTCGATCAATTCTGTATATTGTATGCAGAGTATTTGTCTTGTTCTATATCTGACTACATTTGAATTTTCACTTTATATACATATTTATAATATTATATAAAGTCACTGAAACATATACCTATGTTAATTACATGTACACAGTTTTACAGGAGCACTGTCATTACATATTTTTAATAATTTCCTTTCCTTAGCATACAGTCTGAGATTTTGCAGTGTTGGCTACATTAGTGACACATGAATGAGATCCATAAAAGTATTATAACTGATTTTACAACAGTTATTAATTTAAACAAATTATGAATGGATCCTGGTCAACAATTTGGTCTGGCCAGTAAGGAAGTGTGCAGGGGTCTTATTATTGGTGGAAATTTGAGTAAAACACATGCGGATGCCCGATGGAACGATGTAAAAGTGAATGTGTACATGTTATTTGTTAACAGGTATATATTCATTTATGTTAACTTTACGTATGATGTAAAAGTTAATGTGTACATGTTATTTGTTAACAGGTATATATACATTTATGTTAACTTTACGTATGATGTAAAAGTCAATGTGTACATGTAATTTGTTAACACGTATATACATTTATGTTAACTTTACGTATGATGTAAAAGTTAATGTGTACATGTTATTTGTTAACACGTATATACATTTATGTTAACTTTACGTATGATGTAAAAGTTAATGTGTACATGTTATTTGTTAACATGTATATACATTTATGTTAACTTTACGTATGATGTAAAAGTGAAGGTGTACATGTTATTTGTTAACAGGTATATATTCATTTATGTTAACTTTACGTATGATGTAAAAGTTAATGTGTACATGTTATTTGTTAACACTTACATTTATGTTAACTTTACGTATGATGTAAAAGTTAATGGGTACATGTTATTTGTTAACAGGTATATATACATTTATGTTAACTTTACGTATGATGTAAAAGTTAATGGGTACATGTTATTTGTTAACAGGTATATATACATTTATTTTAACTTAACGTATGATGTAAAAGTGAATGTGTACATGTTATTTGTTAACAGGTAAATATACATTTATGTTAACTTTACGTATGATGTAAAAGTGAATGTGTACATGTTATTTGTTAACAGGTATATATTCATTTATGTTAACTTTACGTATGATGTAAAAGTGAAGGTGTACATGTTATTTGTTAACAGGTATATATTCATTTATGTTAACTTTACGTATGATGTAAAAGTCAATGTGTACATGTAATTTGTTAACACGTATATACATTTATGTTAACTTTACGTATGATGTAAAAGTCAATGTGTACATGTAATTTGTTAACACGTATATACATTTATGTTAACTTTACGTATGATGTAAAAGTCAATGTGTACATGTAATTTGTTAACACGTATATACATTTATGTTAACTTTATGTATGATGTAAAAGTTAATGGGTACATGTTATTTGTTAACACTTATACATTTATGTTAACTTTACGTATGATGTAAAAGTGAAGGTGAACATGTTATTTGTTAACAGGTATATATACATTTATTTTAACTTAACGTATGATGTAAAAGTGAATGTGTACATGTTATTTGTTAACACGTATATACATTTATGTTAACTTTATGTATGATGTAAAAGTTAATGGGTACATGTTATTTGTTAACACTTATACATTTATGTTAACTTTACGTATGATGTAAAAGTGAAGGTGAACATGTTATTTGTTAACAGGTATATATACATTTATGTTAACTTTACGTATGATGTAAAAGTCAATGTGTACATGTAATTTGTTAACACGTATATACATTTATGTTAACTTTATGTATGATGTAAAAGTTAATGGGTACATGTTATTTGTTAACACTTATACATTTATGTTAACTTTACGTATGATGTAAAAGTCAATGTGTACATGTAATTTGTTAA